GTGCATTCATTTACATTCATTTGCCCCTAACTTATTTCATCGACAGAATTTCGCAAAATGATGTATGGAGCTTTTGTAGGTTTTGTTATTAGATACAACTTTTGCTAGGAACTCAAATCCATATCTCTTATGCATGACAAACCAGAGCAAACAGAACCCACTACTGTTTTTCAGTGAATGTAATTTACATTCACTGAAAAATAGTAACGAGTTCTGCCCGCTCTTATTCGTGATACATAAGAGATACAGATTTGAGTTATGGTCAAAAGTTTTAGCTAATAACAAAACCTACTAAAGCTCGATACATTATTTTGCGGAAAGCTGTTGATGAAATAAGTTAGAGGCAAATGAATGTAAATGAATGCATGAAATGAATGTAAATGATTTTCCATGCCTGGCCATGGTTGACCGCAAAAAAAATTGAAAAAAAAGATTTAAGTGGGCCCAGGACCACATTTCATGGACCAGTGATGACTGAAATAAGGTAATCTGGTCAGACGAGACGAAAGTAATGCTCTTTGGGTCACCATTGATACCATCAGACCATACCATTAGATACCATAAAATTTTGGTCCATGAAATGTGGTCCTGGGCCCACTTCAATCTTTTTTTGATAATTATTGCGGACAACCATGGCTTCTTAAGAGCTACTCTGCCCTTAAGACTTTTCTTATGAAGACGATTTCGTACGGATTATGATGTCAGTTGAATGGAAAACTCGCTTTCAATCTGTTTCGCATCTTTCGGAGCTGATAGTCCCCGGTCCAGCTCCTCCTTCTTCACGATAGCTCTGTCAATTCGGTCAGTTGTCTTTGAAGGACGCCCCGATCGCTTAGCTGGCGAGATAAAACCACGTTTTTTGTACATCTGCACAATTCTAGCGACCGTATCTTTGTGAAGCTTGACAATATCAGCAATATCACGGTATCTTTTGTCAGTTTTGTGATGTTCAATAATCAAATTTCGGATACTGATCGAAATTTGGTCTTTTTTGGGCATTTTGAAACAAATAACTTCCAATTTTGAACACAAAACTGAAATGTTGAGCACGAAAACTTCAAGAGCACTAAATGACAGATAGGCACAATGTTTACATTTGATAAAGTTGCAGAATACACACTAAAACTCTGTAAAACACACTTAAATCATAGTATCCGTTTGGGGGTGGATAAACTTTTTTTGCGTAATTTTTCACCATTTTTCATAATTTATCACATGAAATCTCAAGAAAAAATATAAACGCCGTATTTTCAATGGCAATCTGATAAATAAACATAAATTGATAAATCATGGAGGAACACTCATAAAATTAAACTGATTTTCACCAGAAAAACAAAAATAAATTGTAAATTGGTAGGGGGGTGGATAAACTTTTTTTGCATACTGTATGTAATTCGTACTCAACATAATCTGGAATGCCACCCCAAGGGATTCTGGTCGTTTGTGAATACGAAGAGGAAGGAAACTGGGCTGCCGACGTAGCATTGACAACTGAGGACAAATGCAGCCTATTTGCTAGGCACTTCTTAAGCGTCTTCTCGAATGACTCCCCATCGCAAGCAGAAATTGAGCGAGCCGTCCGTGATGTGCCAACCGACGTCGTAAACATGGATGTTTTTGTCGTAGATGTACAAATGGTTCTCTCTGTGATGAGTAAAACCAAATCATCATTTTCACCAGGTCCGAGTGTTATTCCATCTGCAGTCCTAACAAAATGCTCCGATATCTTAGCTGCTCCGTTGTCCTTGCTCTTCAACCTGTCACTTCGTCAACAGAAATTTCCCGCACTATGGAAACGGTCTACTATGTTCCCTGTTTTCAAGAAAGGAGACAAACGCAATGTGGAAAACTACCGTGGGATTACCTCGCTTGGGGTTTAATCTAAGGTGTTTGAGTCGCTGATAAATGAGAGATTGTTTGCTTCCTGCAAGCATTACATAAGTACATGTCAACATGGTTTCTTTCCTGGCCGCTCCGTGGAAACTAATCTCGTCAGCTTTACGTCGTTCTGTATGGAAAATGTATGCAAGAAACTTCAAGTGGATGCCATCTACACTGATCTTAAAGCTGCGTTTGATAGAGTTGTGCACGACGTTCTGCTAGCAAAGCTTGAAAAAATTGGATGTTCTGTTTCCTTCTGCAGCTGGCTTAGATCGTACCTCGTGCAACGTGAAGTTACTGTATGCATTGGAAACTACTCATCGTACTGTTTCTCGAACAGATCAGGAGTTCCACAGGGTAGCACTTTGGGACCAATGCTCTTCTCTTTATTTGTGAACGATGTAACGTTTATTCTACTACGAGGAGGTAAATTGTTTTTTGCCGATGACTTGAAGATTTATCTAGTCGTTCGAGGCTATGCTGACTGTTTAGAACTACAAAACCTTCTTGAAATCTTCAATGATTGGTGGGAACGTTATTTTATGGTCCTGTGCGTCTCAAAGTGCTGCGTAATTAGTTTCCGTCGAACTAGGACTGCCATTTTGTTTGATTATAACGTTGCTGGAACTGCAGTTCAACGTGTTGATCACGTTAAAGACCTCGGTGTCATGATGGATGAAAAGCTCACATACACTCGCCACTTCTCAACCACGATCGACAAAGCTAATCGACAGCTTGGATTCATGTGATCCTCTGTGTTTTAAAGCCCTTTACTGTTCATTGGTACGCTCACTACTGGAATTCGCGAGTGTAGTCTGGAATCCCTACCAAGCTGTATGGAGTGGACGATTCGAAGCTGTTCAACGCAAATTCGTCAGATACGCACTGCGCTATCTTTCATGGAGTGACCCGCTGAATTTACCACCGTATGCTGACCGCTGTCGTTTACTGGGTTTGGATACTCTTGCTAAGCGACGAAACATATCGCAGGTCGTCTTCGTTGCTAAAGTTTTACTCGTAGAATATGATGTTCCTGAGTTACTGGCCAAAATTAATCTGTATGCTCCTGCCCGAACACTCCGTCCGAGAACCTTGCTACATGAAGTAGTACATGCAACCAACTATGCTGCAAACAGTTCGTTTGTCGCCATGATTCATCAATTCAACGAAGCCTCTGACCTATTTGACTTTGACATCATTGCCTCGATGTTTCGTCATCGTTTGCTGTTGGCCAATTTTTAATTTTTAATGAGTGACTACATTTAGATTTAAGTGTTTCATTGAGACTATCAAGTCAGATGGGCTATAATAATAATAATAATAATAAACACTTATGCGCGAAATGCCTTGTTGATAACTCGAGTGTTACACATAATAAGTTCAACATTTGTTGCATTAGTGTCAAAAATCACGGCTTCAAAAAGTATAAGGCTAAGAAAAAATGTTAGCGTTTGAAATATACGGTTTAGATATAATGTAAAACGAATTTTTTTTTATTTATTTTTTATCCCCCCCCCCCTCGACTGGTGCGAGCATCGAGTGACAAAAGAAAAACTTGTGATTTGTTCCGGCCTAATTTGGACAACTTTCTAAAAGTTATCCATACAACACCTTTTTGTAGGAGTTGTTATTTTTCCATAATATATTTTTGAAAAACAAAAAATCGGCAAACAAAGTTTGGCCCTTCTCAAAGGTTAGTCTAGATAAATTTTGGAAAAACTAAGTATATGCATAGTGGGCTTATTTAGTCAAGGTCCACACATCCAGCAAGTTTCATTGAAGTCTGAAAGGGTGCTGCCAGCTCCGAATACGATTTGGCGCGAAATGCGTCTATTATGAAATGGAGCACACTGGATTCGAATCTTGTTAAGATTATTGAGTTCGTGATTTGCGCGCACGTCTATCAACACTTGGGAAATTGGATAGGCTAAAGTCGTATAAGGGCCACCTTATGTACTACGATAACTATTTACAAGTCATGTTTATGGAATTCATAAGTGTTTTATTGATCCAAAATTGTCCAGGTTCAAAAGCCATGACTTCTTCTTCTTCTTCTTCTTCGCATTTCAAGCTTATTGCATATCGCATATTAGCTTATTGCGTGCTCTCAACTTAGTGTTCTAGATGCACTTCCACAGTTATTAATTGAGAGCTTTCGATGCCTTTACCATTTTTGCATTGGTATAATTGTGTGGCAAGTCCAATCATAATTCTATGCCCAGTCGAGACATTTTCCAACCCGAAAAATTCCTAGACTGGACCGGGAATCAAACCCAGCCACCTCCAGCATGGTCTTGCTTTGTAGCTGCGCCTTTACCGACTGAGCTAAGGGAGGCCCCATGACTTATGGATTTCAAAATTCTTAAGTGTATCTATCCGTGCATAAATATATGAAGCAAAATCTCCCGGATACGGAGTTTGAAAATCAAACTAGCTTCCCTAAAAATTAGAACTAGATTTCACTGGTAGGAAGAACAAGCTGTCTAATTTTCAAATATTTAAATTAAACAAAATACCTGTTTTTTTTATCAACACCCCCCATCTCCCCCATATATCCCCCATAATCCTAACTGCACCACAGTTAAAGCATAATCCATTCTTGAGGATCAAATGGGTTCTATTATTTCAATTATCTTCCTCAATGAAATCGCAAAAAAATGACTTAATTCCATTCCCTGCCCGAAGAAACATCAAAGAGCGCCCATCCACTGGCATTATCAGGCAACGCATGTTTTCGCACCATCTTCGCCGACCGATCCTACCTTAACGTAAAATATGTACAAAAAATCCCTACCCAGCAAGAACCCTTAGCAAAACGAATCACCCGAGGCTCATTTTTCCACCCGTTTTTCTATTATTTTTCCTTTTCATCACTATACTCTCAATCATATTTTTATTACAATTTCATGCTCTGTTTACGGTTATACTCGTCTTATTCCATCACCGTTTGTTCCACCTCAGTTTCACATCGTTTCATCTTCCGGAACAAGTCAACCTCAGTGCGAAAGACAAATGATACCTCCGTCATTTCTTTTTTTTTTTTTTGGTTAACAGACTTGGAAAAGGACAAAGCTTCAAAGCATGACAAATGGAGCCGTGAGACGACTTCGGGTACTTACTTGTATTGAAATTCCTTTGCTGAACGCTGATTTTGTCCTTACTGATGAACGATTTTCTGTTTGCTTTGTTATACGAAAAATTGAGCAGTCGCTGTCAGTCAGAGCAACGAACTTACCGCAAGAGGGGGAAATCGAGCTACACCCGTTGATTGAGCTTACTTAACACAGCTTAACACTTACACAAACGAAGAATTTACAATTGCTACGGCAGAGGCGTTAGAATTTAGAAAATCACAACTTTTCTTCTCTACGATTATTTTACCCTTGGATAACACTCACTTAAAACACTACCTTAACGCTTACGAAAACACCACTAGAAAAAGGATGATATGCTTTGATTGGGTAGAACGGATTAATCTCTTGCTTTTTTTTAATATTCACTCTGGGTACTGATATGTGTCGAAGGGAAGGTATCCTTATTTTCCGGTGAAACCACCATCTGACAACGGTCACAATTCACCTGGAGCACTGATCTCGCCAGAATTTATGCAACACAGACACAACTTTCTTCGGAATCCCGTCCGAATCTGCACATGACACACCTTATCCAATTGGGCATTCTCAGTAATTCCGTTACGTGGCTTCTTCGCTGCCAAGAAGGAACTGGGTTTTCCCGGAATGCGGAAAGATCGGATCGAATTAAATTCAAATTTATTTCATTGCTTCGTCCCTCTCAGGGATAGGCTCACACTCACACTCGCTGCTACCACCTTGGAAGACCTTTACTGCTGCTGCTGCTGCTATTGCTGCTGATATGTATCGTGTAATCCAAATTGACTGCGATTCTGTTTGACACCAGAAATTTATCACATTTACTCCGTTGTCTATCGATGGAATTCAAAACTTCCTAGGTCGGACGCACTAGAGTTGTATAGATTCACTGAAGGTCCGCATAGACCGATCCTCATTGCACTGCATGCAAATCAGCTGCCTCAGGTCCAGTCCAGTTCGTACTTGTTCCTGTGGTCGGTCGATTGGTAGAATAAATTAAGCCTTTTGCGAGCCCGAAAAAAACCACCACTTCCTACAAGTTAATTCACCTTCACTGCTGCTGCCGCCGCCCTTTGGGGCATCATCACACGCGCGCGCGGTCGGTAGACGGCAGCCTTGACGCAGGGGGAGGAAGATTTGAATTGCAAAAATGCTGCATTTGCGTTCTCCGTTATCCTCACTCTCTCTGTATGACCATGTGTGTGTGTATGTACGTATTCACCTGTGTGCCCTCGTTACATCAACGCTATACACCAGGGCTATCAACAGCACATTTAGACCCCCCGTCCGCTGCTGCTGCTGGATTATTTGGACCGTATAACCGTATACCTGTCGTATAGCTGTCTATCGCTTTGCTTTGCATATGCGAACCCGAACCGTAGAAAAATCCCTCACGACGCACCCCCGGCCCCTCGCGGACGCATACCGAACTGACAGACGGAAAACATTGAGGTTGCTCCGAATTCCGTACGTCTGTGCTTCCTCAACGAGCAACGACCTCTCCTCCACAACAACGACTTCCAGATCCCGGCCCGGCGATGACGACGACGACGACGACGACACGCAAAATGCAAACTAACCGCGCCTGGGGGTAACCTCGAGTGATGCAGCACAAACTAACGGAACGACGACCGACCGACCAACCGAGCGACCGACGCACACACGACGCAGTTCCGGTTTTCCTCAGGAGCTTCGAACGAACCGTACGACTCGACAACGCGCGGTCAAAACTTGGGGCGGACAACCACGACGTACCGAAGCACACGATAAACTACCGCAGCTGGTAGCTCCGGCGTCGACGAGAACACGAACGCGAGATGTACCTGCCTGCTGATGTTTGGGGATGCGTCCGCAGCAGCAGTAGCAATAGCAGTCTGGTTGTGAACTCACGGGGCAGTGAGTGACTGGGCTAAGGGAACTCGCCCGTTGAACAGCTGATGGTGAATCAGTCAACGGCGGTGGAATCGACGAACTGAAGTGCGCATGCGGGCAGAGAGTTCGCGGTTAGAGATGCCCACAGAGAGCAATAGCACGTGGAAGGTTGACGTTTGCTCTCCGATGGATGGGAAGGAAGGGGAGCTGCACACACGTGTTGACGGCCTTTTGGGGTGCATGAATCGTTCGTTAACACGGAGAGCACGTTGTTTTGAGCGATGCTATGATGAAGACGGATGTGGGGTGTTTTTTCGTTTTAATTAATCAAATTTGGGTTCTCCAAATTGTCGTACAGTTAAGTGCTAAACACACACGGCGATTTTTACGACGAGCTTTGGTTGCCCTAAAATGGCCAATATGAGATCCTTCCAACCTGTTCACACGGGTGACCATTATCGGCGATAAAACTATCCTTCAAAAAATAAATCGCTTGTGTCGCTGGCAGGGATGCCAGGCAGTTTTTTTTTTTTAATTCAAATGATGCTAGTGATGACAAATCAGGATTTATTAGGGAAGGCATTTTGGATATTAAATTATTAAGGAACAGTCTTCCACTCGATAGAAAATACGTCTTCAACAGCAGATTTTGAAAAAGGTGTACGGGGAGGGGGGGGGGGGGGGACAAATCAAGGTAAATCAGGATATTTTTTTTTTTTAGAAAATCAGGATAAATTGGCAAATGACCAATTCCACGCCAAATCGGTCAGTCACCAAACTTGACTATCTTCGATCTGGATGATACTTGGCACATATTTTCAGTATGATAGACCAAGTATTTTACGCAGGAGAGGAGACCCTTTTGACTCAAGGGTAATTTTTGAAAAGGGCCTATGTGTTTTTGCACACATACTTTAAAAAATGTAGTTCGAAAACAGTTGGTTGTAGAAAAAAATTTACTAAGAAAGAGTTGTAGGAAACTAATACGGCTTTATAAAAAAAAATTAAAACGGAATTTGTTTTTTGTTTTTTTACAAAAAAAAAATTAAAAATAATCCTCAAAATTCAAATAACAAAAAAAAACTTAAAGTTAGGAAAATCCTGTTAGAAGAATTAACCACTAGCAGCAGTTGGCGCGCAGTCCAGATGCATCACGCCATGGAATGCACCAATACGTAGCAAGTAGGGTAGAATAGCTTAGTAAGCACTTTTAGTGCATAAATAGGTAGTGAACATGAGGTTCGCTCTCTTTTTCATTATAACCGCCGGTGCAGTAAGTAGTCAATATAAGTATCTAGCATAAGAAGTGAAGTGTTGGTGTTTTTTAAAAACGAATTGAAAGAAATCACTTTCATTATTGGCGCAGCCGGTAGGATTGAGCATACCGAAGTATACAAAAGGAGGCCCAGCGACAGGGAATCCAAGGAGGTCACGTTAACCAAACAGGAGGAATTCAACACCACCACGGGACGACGCCCAACCTTAGAGGACGACTGCTAAGGCCCGCTTCGGAGCTCACCACCAAGGAATCAACGAGCTACATGCTCAAATTAATCACGTAAGTGACCCATTTTACTACCTATTCACCTGTGGAAAAATTGCTTAGTGTGCAGAAAAATGCCAAGCAACCGGCAAGCCGAAATTGTGCAGCTTCAAGCCACCGTGGCTGAGCTACAAGAGTTGCCACTAGGCAACGAGCGGCAACCTGATAGATTCAAGTTGCCTGACCCAATCAAAAACATGTCTGAGTTCACAGGCATTAAAAAAGAATTAGCCACCTGGCTCGAAGAGCTAGACGAGCTTGTCGTGAAGGGAGAAAATAATGCTCCCGACACTATCCCTAGCCACTACATGCGGGCTATTAAAAACAAAATTAAAGGCGAAGCGCGCACAATTTTGTGTGCCAGCGGAAACCTCAATTCGGTACCATGTATCAGGAGCATTCTACTTGAAAATTACGGTGATCAGAGAGATCTAGCAACAAACCTGTCACACTTGTTTAACATGAGACGAGGTGACAGAAACAACCATAAATTTTATTCAGATGTAAAGGAATTATCATCAAAATTAAAAATCAATTTGACAATAAATCCAGTTCAGACCAACGACTTAATTGAAAGGTTAATCATAACCAAATACTTAGACAACATAGGTGAACCATTAGCCTCAATAATTAGACAATCACGACCAACAACACTTGAAGCAGCATACCAAGCAGTATGCATTAACCAAAACGCTGAAGCAAGAAATCGCCCAGCACATCAAAATAAACCACGACCACATTTCAATACCGACAATAGTAAAACAAATTACAAACCCAAGTATGAGGGCAATAGTAATACGAAATTCTTTCCAAAACCCTCGACCAGTCAGCATAAATTGAAACAGAAAATAAAAACAGAAATTAATAATAACGTGGTTGAAGAAGAACCAGAGGAAGACGAACCCGACACCGGTTTAAATTACAGTGATGACGATGACAACGACAGTGACGGACACGGTGAGGTGGACGAACTCGAAACAAATTTTCAAAGCGTTCGCATAGCGAAACAGCTGACATGAATTTCATTCCCTACTTACGGATACCCACTACGAAAGGTTATTTGAATTTCTTAGTGGACACCGGCGCAAATAAATCGTATCTCAATCCAGAGCATATTAAAAAATCTAAAACTTTGAAAAGACCAGCCGTCATAACAAACAAAAATGGCAAGTTTGTTATCGACCGCATCGTGCATGTTAATCTATTCCCAGAAACCCTTACAGAAAAGCTTCCTTTTTATGCATTCAAATTTCATAATTTCTTCGATGGTCTTATTGGCTATGAAAACTTAGCTGCCATGCGAGCAGTCATCGATACTTCAAAAAAATATATTACTATCAATAACCAAAGGTATGCTGTGTCTAAATATATTCCTACTTCTATCAATTTTCATGAGACCAATGAAAACCTTTTTGAAATTAATACTACCAGTGATGGATCGTTTGTAATTGATCATTATAATGCATGATAGCACTTAAAGTTCAATGTTATTTTTGATTCACTTCCTCCTTCAAGATGGATGTTTAAGATACACATATTTTGCTAGCTGGCAAAATAGGGTCATTGCTGTATAATTATTCTTTTTTTTCAGCCTTCATTTAGACTGGATCTATTGATTTAAATTATTTGAGTTTTCTTCCAGCTCTTCGATAACGGAACATCATTAGATTTATACTGTAATGATTCACTATTACAGCTTTCACCCTGGTTTTGTATGTTGATTTGATTTGTTTGAATTGGTTTTTAGCTCCTTGGTATTGGCAGTCGTGGGCGGTCAATTTTGCTGATGCTCATGCTCTAAGTTTATTTTCAGCTTTTCGATGATGGAGTCTTCAGATTTATATTAAAACAATGATCCACCATTTTGTTTAGGCTTCAGGCAAATCCAAGTATAATGCATGAAAACACTGATTCATTTAAAACCATGGTCGCATCACTTAACAAGGTGAATCCTGATCCAACGAATCCAACTTACTAACAAAATCTCCTTTCCTGTGTCTTTGTTGGGGTGCAGAGGTAAACACGGCCCACAAACAACAAAGGTCACTTTAATATTCCTTCCCTACTCCCACCTGATTGCAAGGACGTGGCCGGCGCCGTTATTGATTTACAAAATATGGAGTCACTGAAACTTGTACAATGAGAATGGACGGTCACTCCCAGCCCCATTCAGCTGATTCATTGTACAATTTCACTGATTCTGATCAATCACGGAGTAGCAACCATTGATATGTGCAGTCAGTCGAAGCGCAACGTGATGGGGGAGTATGACCGTTCAAACCAAGATGACCTCAAATTATAAACAGCTTTCGGGGACGCCGTTTTATTTGCATAGCTTTGTTGCGTATGCAACCACTCGACGAACACTTGAAGAAATATTATTATTTAAAAAATATTTTCAGCTCTTCAATGATGAAACATCTTTTGAGTTCGTTGATGACGGCACATCTTTGGATTTATAACGTAATGATTAGTTTTTCATAGCCTTCACTCAAGTTAGATCCGTTTTTTTCAATAACTTAAGTTTATTTTCAGCTCGTTGAATATTTGAATATGTGACATCATTAGATTTACATAATAATAATACATTTTTTTCAGTTTTCATTCATGCGGGATGTAGGGATTTTAATTATCTATGCTTGCTTTCAGCTCTTCGATGATGAAACACTAGGGTGCTTCATTCTGAAAAAAGTGATGAATTTCTGATGGGCCACCCTCCAGTTCGATTCATAGCCCCAAAATATGAACCTGTGCAAAAATTGGTAAAGATTGATGAAGGTTTAGAGGTCGCGCCAATGATTTGAAATTTGTATGGGAATTACTATGGAAGAATTTAAAAAATCGCTTATATCGCTATAACTTTGCTTCTACTTGTCCAAATGTCGAAAAAATTTAGTATGTTATTGCTATGGCAATAAACAAAAAGCCTACAGTTGCTACGCTCAGTTTTGCAGCGTATCAAGAATTATAAAAATGTGAAAAAATGGCAAAATAGGGTAAATTGACAGATGAATATGTACAAGGCAACAACGCCAATTTCATCGCAACAACAACAGGCTTGTTGATCATTGTCATGACAACCACATATTTTTTTTTTTCAACGTTTGGACAACTACAACCAAAGTTAGAGCAATGTAAACGAAAATCAATAATTTCCCATACTAATTCACCAAAATCTCCATACAAAATCCAAATCATTGGCGCGACCTCTAAACCTTCATCAATCTTTACCATTTTTTGCACAGGTTCATATTTTGGGGCTATGAATCGAACTGGA